GGCACAATGGAAGACACAGTTGCAGGTCAATGGTGAAAGACTGGGAAAGGTTAATATCAAGAGAGGAATATTGCAAGGATATTCATTATCACCACTACTATTTGTTATTGCACTGTTTCATCTGTCAACAATACTGAATAACTCAGGACAGGGCTATCAAACATCAAAAACATCTGCCAGGCTATCCCACCACCTTTATATGGATGATATGAAGCTGTATGAAAAAACATCATCTGAAATAGAATCGCTGCTGAACACTGTCTGTATATATAGCCAAGATATTGCAATGGAGTTTGGCTTGGACAAATATGCCACACATACTGTCAAACAAGGAAAAATAGTAAAAACTGAAGGAATCAAGATGCCCCCCAAAAATAACATTGGATTGGACTCAAGCAGAACTAAAAGCAATGGATAGGAAGACCAGAAAAATAATGACAATGAACATGCCCTTCATCCACACAGTGACATTGACAGACTCTATCTACCAAGGCAAATAGGTGGATGTGGAATGCTGCAAGTACATCAGATGGTTGAAGAAGAAAAAATGGCTTTGGAAGAATATCTGAAGGACAATGATGAAGATGCACTGAAATTAGTATATCAGAAAGGCTTACTGATTACTGGAAAGACCAAACTGGCCTACAAGAAAGACCAAATGAAGAAAAGAATAGAGGCATGGGAAGACAAAGCACTACATGGTCAGTACATTAAAAAAAAAAATAGCTGGGAAAGCAGATAATAACAGGACCTGGCAATGGCTAAGAGCAGGAAAGTTGAAGAAAGAGACCGAGGGACTAATTCTGGCTGCACAAGACCAAGCCTTAAGGACAAATGCATACAAAGTCAAAATTGAGAAGACAGCAACAGACAGTAAGTGCCGCCTATGCAAATAAGCTGAAGAAAGAGTGGACCACCTGGTAAGTTGTTGCAAGAAGATCACACAGACTGACTACAAGCAGCGGCATGACAAAGTAGCAACAATGGTGCATTGGAAGATCTGCAAGAAATATCATTTGCCTGTAAGCAAGAACTGGTGGGATCATAAAATAGAGAAAGTCATAGAAAATGATAAAGTTAAACTGCTCTGGGACTTCAGAATTCAAACAGACAAGCACCTGCAACATAACACCCCAGACTTAACAATTGTCGATAAGAAAGACAAAAAAAAGTCTGGATAGTGGACGTGGCAGTGCCTGGAGACAGCAGAATAGATGAGAAAGAACTGGAGAAGATAACAAAACACAAAGACCTACAAATAGAAATAGAAAGACTGTGGCAAAGGCAAGCAAGGGTAGTACCAATAGTAATAAGCGCCTTGGGTGCAATCCCAAAACAACTGGAGTACCACTTGAACACCATTGGCATTGACAAATTCGCCATTAGTCAATTGCAAAAGGCGGCCTTACTAGGAACTGCTTCCATCCTGCAATGATATCTGTAATACCATCAAATATCCACATCTGCCTATCCCAGGTCCTTGGTAAGGACTCAATAGGTAGACAAAAATGCCAAATCCAGTCTGAACATCTGGCTGACTGTGCAATGATCAATAGTAATAATGATGATGATGATTTTGGAAGGGACATTGGAGGTCATCTAGTCCAACTCCCTGCTCAGGCAGGAAACCCTATACCATTTCAGACAAATGGCTGTCCAGTCTCTTCTTAAAAATGTTTAGATTATGTCTATCTCTGCTTAATTGTTATTGCAATATTTTTTAGTTTTGAGTTCCAGGAGTAGTCACTTAGCATTAAGAGAATCAAAAAGACACCTTGACAGAATTGAATCTGCCCACCTCATCTGGTCATCTAGAGAAGGCCTGCAAGGTAAATGGGGCACTGGTGAGGCCTTGTGGAATACTTTTCACCAGATATATATATGTAGCCCCATCTTACAGCAATTCCACAAGCAAATTAAATTTATTTCAATTTGTCTTCAGTCCCAGTTAACTTATTGTGGCCCCCATTTTGGGTTTAATCTTGGTTCTTGTTGCTGACTTCTGGGTCTGAAACTGATTTTGAGCTACTGTAATTACTATGTTTTATTTCTTCTGTTTTCTTATATATATAGTCTAGAGTGTTTGGGGCTTGGAGAAGGTTCTAAATACTATGAATTAATTAATTAGTTAAAATTAAATAAATAAATAAATAAATAAACAAATAGGTGATAAATAATCTAGTGTGTGCATAGTTGGACAAGTCTAATATGTTTCACAGAATTGCTTTATGTTGCATAGAGTTCCTTGCTGTCTCTTCCATTCTTCCTACTCTTCCATTCTGCCCTATCCATAGCCTTTGTAGAAATGCTACCATGATTTAGCTCAAATCAGCTTGAAAGGATAATATTTCAGCCCAGGTTATTATATAATAATGCAAAGACACCTTTGAACAATTGCCTAAATCACTCTACATTACTGAGTAGTAGTAGTAGTAGTAGTAGTAGTAGTAGTAGTAGTAGTAGTAGTAGTAACAGTTCATTCCAAGGTGCTTCTGGGTTGAAAGGATTAGCCGGTGACATCACCATTGCTTGGGGGATACTCAGTTGGGAGGCTCCTTTCATGTCCCCAGTAGGAGCTGGAGCAAAGGACGGGAGTTCATCCCACCCCAAGGCATACTCAGGTCTTGAACACAGGCTTGCTGCTTGTCAAGCCAGTGTCCTAACCACATGTGCCATCATAATCCTAGTAGTAGCAGTAGTAGTAGTAGTAGTAGTAGTAGTAGTAGTGGTGGTAGTAGTAGTAGTAGTGTAATAGATGTAATAATAGATGTAGCAATGTAGGAATACTTCACTTATTCATACTTATTGATGTGAACCAAGGGCATTTTGTAAACCCTCATTTCACTTTGTGGCTCCTGATAGGATCAGTGCCAAAAATTGTGCCATAGTGGAGAATCTGCAGTTGGTTCCTGCAAGCAGGTACAATTCAGAATCAGTAAAACTAGATATGCATTTTCGACTTTTATGAAAGGCAAAGATTCTCAGCAAGTCTCGACTTAACCGTGGAAATCCCTAGATGACTTTGAGCTACTGTCTCTTTTTAGCTCAAGCTATCTCATCGAGTTGTTGGTGTGGGAATAAAAATAAAGAGAACTGGTAATACAGTACAGGCAATACAGCAATAACTCATTCTTAAACAGCATGAGTAACAATGTATATTAAATACATACATAAATGCGTACATACTGTGATCAATGTGTGTTTTCTATTAAAATCTACTTGGCTTACTATATATTAAATACACATGAAATAATTAAAACTTATATGGGGGCTAGTTTTATATTGGAAGCAACACTTAAATATTCTATTTTTTCTTCTTGGAACAATTAAGCATATACTAAATCATTTTTGTAGTTAATCTATATTGTACCCCACTACCTTGTATTTTAAAGTTGTAAAATTATTAGTCCTCTGATATTCTTTTGAATGTAAACCCTTAAATGTTATTGCAGTTAGAAGTGGAATAGAAAAGTTTTAGTTGCAGACTCATAGAAAAGTTCATTTTTTCAGTTTCTTAAATTTCATTCTTTGATGATTATTTTAATGCTAATATTGTTAAATAAAAAGTAAAAATATACTGTAGCTAGGAAGCACTGTATGATGAGAATTCTGGTATGCTGACATTCACAGTCAAAAGTAATTAAACATCTGCTCTCATTTTAAACAGTTAATCTGACCACTGTCCAAAAATATCCCATACATGTCTTTAATTCAGTAGTTAAAGTGTTTTATAGTAGACCACCCATATTTTCACATAAATAACTCAATCTCTGCAAATACTTAGGAAACAAAAGAATCTTTTATATCCTTTTATAAATATATTTTTGAAGCTTAAATCCACCCCATCCCTAAATTTACTTAGAGAACTTTGACTGTTAGCGCTGTAGATGAAACGATAAAGCCAAATAAAATTAATTATTAAATTATTTGATTTATTTAAAAGATTTGTATGGCCGCCCGCACAAAGTAAACTTCCTTGGGTTATCCATATTTGTTGTGTTATAGTTAAGCTTGTTTTTCCAATTACCTATGGAGTAGCTTGTGAAAGCAAATAGTATTTAACAATACTGTTAAATAACTGGAGCAGTTTAGCAGCAATATTCATTGTAAGCTTAGTATTACTATGTATGGATAGATATTTTTGGAATATTTCTGTGCATTAATTCTAAGGTCAGTATGCATACTTACACCCCAGCAGGTAACTGCAACATTTACGGCCCCAGTTCCAGGACAGGTTTATAAGCTTTTTTAAATCCATCAATTTCAAAAGAAGCTGAGGTGACATCAAAAGCAGTTTAAGAGCAAGATTCCTTCATGAATCTGACTCATGGGATATCAAAAAAATCTCTGTTGCTACGGGCCTATCCCTATCCCTGGGCCAGTGAGAGAGAGAGGCATAGGCCTCCAGTAGAAGGCATGTTGATGTTCCATATGTCATGATACTATCACAAAAATTATATAAGTGATACAATTGGTGTCATTTGCAATATAGCATCGTGATAAATTTGCTCTCATTGCAGATCAGCCAAGGGGTTCTGGGGAACAGCTTGATATTGACTAGGCACTGGAATATCTTTGGGATTAAGCCAGGAGTCTAGTGTCACATTCCGTGTTATAGCTTTATTTTTTGCAATGCCTTGTGTTTAACTTCCATTATACACCATCTATACATTTTCATATTGGTCAACCTATAATACTCTTCTGCCAGGGAATAAATGCAACTGAGAATAAGTACCTGAGAATTGAGCAACTTGAAAGGAAGGGTGCAGTTGGGGTGTGCTATTCCTTGTATGCTGGGAGCTGCTGCTCTGGCTTGAATTATTAGCTGGATTACTGTTGGAAGATCCATTCCTACTGGCACTTTCCTCACAGCTTCCTCTACTGTGGTTTGGGTTACAGTCCTTCCGCATTCTGTTTGAAAAGAGATAGTCAGGAGCACCAGAATAGACTGGAGCTTTCAGGGGCAGATTCTGGGGAACATAAGCAGGAAGGTAATTTCCCTTTGCTTCTAATGTCTTTGTTTTCCACAGTGGGAACACAGTGCTGGACCAGAAAGACCGTTCTTTGAAAAATATAATAGAAAGTTTTACTCTCAGAATTGCTTTACATTTCTTTGGCAAATTATGGGAAAGACAGATGTTCATCGACATATCTCTATCAGCTTTCATACTGGGCTCATATGAAACATATAATATTTTGGCCAATAACAACAATGAGCTGTGCAAGTTGCACATTCAATATTCCACTGGGTATGAGTGAAATATTTCATATCAAAAACAGTGTTGAAATGCAGTGGTAATGGAATTTGCACTTGGGACATACCTCCTGACAATGTTTCCCCCCTACATTTTTCTTTGATCCTATTTCTAAGCAGCTCACTATCTAGTCGTTCCCTTCCTCATTTTATTTTCAGAGCTAGTTTAGATTAAAATATGTAAGTGGATGAAAAACAATAAGCTGCATGGCTGAGTGGAAATTTGAACATGACCTTAGCCTCACATTCTAATTGTATGTGGGACCTCCAAATATTGCTGAATTACAATTGTCAGTCCCAAACAGCTCCAGTCAGCATCATTGGTGGCAAATGTTAGGGTTAAGATAGTTGTTTTTCAGCAATATTTGATGGATCCCAGATCTCCAGTTTCTGCTCTAGATCCCATGCTATGATCTGCACTATTAATATGTGTGATGTAGAAGTCCCATACCAGGACAATCTATTTTTTTAAAAAAGATACGCTGCCATGTTCAGAATATAACTAGAATGTTAGCATAGGGAATAAAGATGTTTAAGGCCTGCATTTTTTCCTCCTCTCTTTTAAGTTGTTATTATCCTCACTGAAAATAGTCACAGGAAAAGTTGGGAGGTCCATTTTGGTTCTTAGTTTGTAGAACATGGGTCATTTAGGATCTCTTTTATTTCTGTTTCTGAATAGTTGCAAAACTCTTCAACTCGTCTAGATATTTTAATTCTGAAAAATCAAATGCTGGGAAATAAAATCTTAAGTGACAAATTTGCCTGGCTATTTCATATGTCATTATTAACCCTATGACCCAGTTCCATAGTAAATTGAGAAATTCACTGCAAGTAGAATAGATTCTACAAATTCTGCAATTCAGGTCATTTGATGAAATGTATTACTTTGTTATTTGTCAAAGGCGAATTTGGTTCAGTGTCAACAGAGTGGTAACAGATGATTCTGCATCATGGCATTCACTCTCAGTCCATCTAAATGATAAAATACTGCAACATTATTGGAAGGTGCAGAATAGCTGGTATTTGGTGATAGATGGAGCTATAGAGGATGAAAAAAACAATATTCCTCTGGAGGTACATACTGTTCTACAATAATGTACTTGCCTCCTTTCTGTTTGTCAAGTTTTACAAATCTTTGCCACTAGCATATTATACCGCAGGTTCCTTTTCTTACTTGCTGTTGATGTTCAGTGGAAATGTTATACAAAAATTCAGAAAACCTGAAACTATATATATGCTATATATAGTTCTGACAAAACTGTATATAATATATATCTAACAGAACTGTATATATATAATTACAGTGAATTTCTTTCAATTAGCGACTGGCTAAATATAATGAAGGCGCCATGTTCATTGAATATGTAGGATGCTCAGTTCAATCCAGATGCAATGAGAATACAATAGGAATGGATGCATCTCTATTGTGCTTCAACTTCTGAAAGGAAGGGCTCCTGGAAAACAGCAAAACTAGCTGTGAGGGGCAAAGGAGGAGGTGCATATAACTCTTACAACTACATAAGGAAGGAAAGGGGAGGCAAATCAGTGCTTTGGTTGGTTGATCTAATTTAAGTGGATAGTAAATAACTCCACTTAGTAGTATTTGATTTCTATAGCCACCCAGAGTAATTTGCTGAGATGGGCAGCTATAGAAATCAAGTAAATAAAATAAATAAATTAATGAATTAATAAATAAATAAACTCTGTTTTAGGCATTGGAGACAGAAGGCAGCATGTATCACTTAAAGTTCTCATTTAAAAAATCTATCTTGTATTTTGAGAGCCCTAAGATGTCCTTTAAAACGTCAGCTGGGATGCAATGGAAGATCTCTGCTTACCTAAGCCACTTGTTTCTGAACCATCCTTTGATGCTGTCGAGACTTATCGGTCCACCCCAGAGATTTTTCATCTCTCTGTGAGTGCCTACATAGGATGTGGTCAAAGGAGAAACATACATGGGGTAGCCCAGAGGCTGGTCGCATGAAGAATTAATCAGGTTCCTCAACACCTGTTTATTGTTTTGGATGCTGCCTCGTTCTGGGTTACGATTGCGTAAAAAAATCAGTTCCTGTTGCTGTCCTGCCCAGAGCCCTCTGACACATTCCTTGTTAACCTAGAAATAAACAAAAGTACAAAACCATGTGGAAACATTTTGGAGAGAAAATGGATGGGGGTTGCAATCCACCTGCTGTTTGCACTGCAGAGTTGCTTGCTTCAAGGCCACAGGGCCATTTGCAAGTGCTGGGCCTGCTATAATTTCTCCCACCCTTCTTCTGAAAAATTGGAGGAGGGAGGGTCATAATCTGCTACGAGAAATAGAGCATTTAGATGTATATTAAGCACAGGAGATGATTTCTGAAGATACAGACTTTTCTTTCAATGCTAAAAGGAGGACCAATGTTAAGTAGGCCAGGCTGGAGTGGGAGAAGAATGTACCCTTCGATGGATACATAACTATGCAAAAATTTATGGCATGGTAACAGCTCAGCTGTATGAATGCTTTAGCTTTGTTGGAAGTAAAAGTTTATTTTTTCATCATCGCTTGACTCCCAGTCAGTCTTGAAAAAAGAAGGAGGAGCCAAAGGAACACAGAATCTATCAATACTGTAATCTAGCACTAAGGCTAAAATGAGCATAGGTTGGCTTCTTGTGCACCTGAGAACTTGCAATAATGGTGAATGTCTGTAGCTCAGGTGTAGAATGAGGGTGAAAGTTCATTCTTTGAGCTTGTGGATTGGTTTCCAAATGTTTCGTTACCAGGCTAGGTAACCTCTTTGTTACCTAGCCTGGTAACATAATATTTGGAAACCAACCCACACGCTCGGAGACAGAACCTTCACCCTCAACTGTAGACATTCCATCAAGCCATGTTCAACAATGAGCTGAACACTGCTGCTTTATATTCATACATACATGTTCACGCCTAGACTACAGGTAGTCCTTGACTTATAACCATTTATTCAATGACCATTCAAAGTTACAACAGCACTGAAGAAAATGACTTATGACTTACTTATGGCCATTTTTCAACTTACGACCATTGCAGCAACAATGGTCAGGTGATCAAAATTTGGACGCTTGGCAACTGGCATGTATTTATGACAGTTGCAGAATCCCAGAGTCATAGGATCATTTTTTATGACCTTCTGACAAGCAAAGCCCATTGGGAAGCCAAATTCAATTAACAACAGTGATACTAACTTAACAACTGCAGAGATTCGCTTAACAATTGTGGCAAGAGAGAGGTCATTAAAAAGGGGCAAAACTCACTTAACAACTGTCTACTTAGTAGTGGAAATTTGGGGCTCAATTGTGCTTATAAAGTTGAGGACTACCTGTATTGCTATATGAGGAACATTATGTGAGAAATATATAGACATGACAATTATAAATCATTGTATGTTTTAGTCACTCTGAGAGATTCGTTGGGTATTTTTAAGGCCATGGTTCAAATGAGTTCCCATGTATATTTTCTTCTGGGAAGCAGTGGCACTAATTAGGTTAGAAGTTACTGATCTAATAGGGATGGAAGGCTAATTTCAATACCCATTCAAACTAGTTTCTTTGAAATAAAAAAATAATAAAACTATGTTCCTACCCGATTGCCCACCCTCTGTTGATAAAATGCTTTTAAAATAAGAAAGCAAAAACAATGACCAGAGTAAACCCACGGGGTTCTGACATGCCTGTTTATCCAAATATTGATTCTGGTCTTGGAAACTGCTGTTCCCATCACTTTGCCACCCTGCAGTTAAACGGCGTTTAGATCCCAGTTCTAACCTTTGCTAGGCCACTCTGTCAAGAGACTTACCTAGCTAGAGTGGAAATAAAATTCTAAATACAGCAGCTCTGAATGTCAACAATCCAGACAATGAAAACGAGGCAGAGGTGATGGTACCTTGATTACTTTGAAGCTTAAGTAGCTTTTGTGGAGCATGATAACTTTATATTCATCCGTTCCTTCTTCTACCACATGCCTAAAAGTAAGGAGCTCTTCTTTGTTTGAGAGGATGGCACTGCGCCACGCAGGATCCCCTTCATGACAAATCACAACTTTCTCTTCAAAGGACTGAATTGCATCATAAAGTATAGCAGGATCTTCATATTCATCTGGACAAGTGAATTGGTCCTGGTATTAAAGGAAAGGCATGGTTACGATCAGAAACATTTCTGAAGTGATGAAAGGTTTTAGGTTTAGAAACTTCAATGGAACTGCAAGCCACACTGCATTTGTGCAGAGAGGTAGCAAAAAGCCACAATGAAGATGTATAGCAGTTTTGGCTTGCTCCACTGGAATAATCCCATTATTAGCACATCAGTTGGTTTGAATTATTTTGGGTACCTCCAGCTTGTGCTGGTTGGTGATACCAGACACCTCCGAAGAGAAAGATGAGAAATTCATTGAAATGTCTGAAATTATCTGGCTTTAAGAATGCATTTTTATTCATTTACCACACAAAGTTGGTATGTCTTTTCAAAGGTTGAATAAATGAGGGGTGAGTTTTATTATATGTAAAATGATGAAGTGACTAAAATACCTCCTAAGAGCTACACTTCCAATAATTAATGGCTTGAGTTATATAAATGCATTTCTTAGAAGAAATTCATAGCTGCACATATACCGTTTCATTTGAATTTAACTGGCCAACAATGTAAACATTCTGGTTGTCCTTGTTATGCCTACCACATGATCAGTATAATAAAGTTTGCATAACATACAAGAAGTATTTGCTGCAGAAAAGAGGAAAACTCACTTGATGTAGTTTCAATGACATTCTAATTGCAGGAGCAACGACTTGGTGCAAGAGGTCCATATCTGCAAATACCCATTCATCTCTTGATGTAATTCGAAAATCTCCTTTGAACAAGGCATGGAGGCCGTGGAGGAAGGAGTCTAAGCTGTAAACAATCAGATTAATTACTCACAGATTCAGTTTCCATTACAGCTGTTGAAAATAAGATCTCTTTCATAGTATTGTGACGGAACTCTCTGAGCCTGAGAAAGAAAATGGATGTTTCCAAAATATTGCAGAACAGATGGACTTTTTTGTGGAATCAAATAAGCAATTAGTAGCTTACCCATTAAACCAAGACTCGGAAAGAGATCAAAGGCAATTGGGAGGCACTGCTTTAATACACTTACTGATAAATGAGCGCCAAGTACAAATATCCAATTTACAAGATTCTGTACCCAAGACTTCTTTTTTTCTTTGCAATCTTCCTACCTACTCTGACTGTGTGAGAATGTTGTTTTGTTTTATTTTTTGTGACCTGCTGTAAATGGTTTAACGTAGTTGCAACTGAAGACTTAGTGTTTGCATTAGATTGTGAGCTTTTGGAAATACTGTGTTTGAAATGGCTACACAAAGGAGTAATAGAAGATTTTTTTAAAAAAAGATTATGATTTTTTCCCCCATTTTGAAGAGCTCTTTCTCAAATGAAAATAAATGGCTTTTTGAAATTTTTCATACCAGATGATTTCTTAAAACGAAATAGGAGAAATTATCCAATATGTTTCAAAGATGGGATGCTGCATTAGTGGTAAATGGAAGAACATCTTCTCTTGGGATTTAATTAAAGCCTGGAAGCCCGCACATCCACGATAGATAATAGTATATTAAAAGTCAGAATATTCAGAATAACTATCAGATTACCTGTTGGGGCATTTATTTATTTCCCGGCTTTTTTATTTTTACAAATAAATCAAGGGGGCGAACATATCCAACACATCTTCTTCCTTCTTTTTTCACCACAACAACAATCTTTGTGAGGTGAACTGGACTGTAAGTAATTGGATCAAGGTCACCCACATGGCTTTCATAGCTAAAGCAGGACTTGGACTCATGGTCTCTTGCTTTCTAACCTGGTGCCTTAACCACTAGACCAAACTGACTAAGGACTACAAATATGTTTTCTACAAATATGTTTTCTATAACAAATCCCTCTTTTGAAGACATAATGCTACATCCTCCAATTTGCACTGAAGAAGTTCAACAGAACTTAATGTCAATGTCCTATTAATTGTTGGAAACACGGCATAATTTAAAACATGATGTTTGCAGTCTACTGACATTTACAGTGACAGGTAAATCAAACATTATTTGCATACATTCCATAAAAATATTGCCAGCATGTCTTGCCTTTAAACACTTTTCCTAAACTGATTAGATCACAATTCATGTGTAAATGAATGCAAATTACTAGCTCATGTGTGTGTGTATATATATATATAATGTAAACTTCACTTCTGATGTAGCATACAATTTAGTATTCCTCCCTGAACATTCATTTTGCCCTCTAATGGTAATGGTTTCCTAATGACTTGTCAACAGTATAGATATCTTACTTAGTAGAAATTGATGTGTAATATCAACATTTTGCCTATTTAATTTCCAAATAATGTAAATGAGACTGATATATATAACTATGGTTTTCCATGAAAAACAAACACATTATGAACCACTTCCTCTCAAAACAAAGCAAGTGAGTGATGGTCCAATGTCAACAGCACTATAGGGAAAAGGCAGCAATTTTGCATATACTTAGTAGGCAGTAAGTTTCACTAAAAAGAATGAGCTATTTTTTTCAAGACTTCCTCTAGCATTAGAAGAATAGGCAGGTTCTGTACAAAATAATAAGGCTATAATCACTATTTATAAATGGTTATTAGAATAGATGTTCAAGAGGACAGGGAGACTTTGTCTGGGCATTAGCATGATTAATTGTCTACTTCAGTATCTGAATTGTATATTTGTAATGATTTAATATTATGATTGTTTAAATAAAAAGACATTTTGTGAACATCTATGCAATATTTTAAGAAGCATCCAGCTAACTGTTAGATATGTGGGACTCAAAAAGAAATATTGATTCATATAATGTTTTCATATGCTACATTAGCTCTAATTGGTATAGGTAGCATATATTTCATAGATATACATGGGGAGTATAATCCACAGAAATTACGCATTAATACAATTGTTCGTTGTCACCTGAATTATTTTAATACCACAAGAGTCTTGGTTATATTCACATATTTTCAGTTGCATCAATTTGTCTAGAGCAGTGGTTCTCAACCTTTCTAATGCCGTGACCCCATAATACAGTTCCCCATGTTGTGGTGACCCCCAAGTGGGTGTGGCCACCAATAAGAGGGAGTAGGACAGCTAGGGAAAAGGGAAAAAATGGCAGACAGCGTGGTTTGGCGACCCCCGTGAAATGGTCATTCGACCCCAAATGGGGTCCTGACCCACAGGTTGAGAACCACTGGTCTAGAGACTTGGTTTTCATTCAAAAAGGTTCTTATACCGATATTAAAAGGTAAGGGTAAATTCAAGAAATTCAAGAATTCATTCTTTTATGTATTCCTGTGCTACAAATACAGAATTATTCAAGATGTACGTATTCTTCTGAAAAAGCTACCAAGTTGCTGATTTCAAAAATAATTTTTCTTCGTGTACCTCTTCCTTTACAATAAATGGAAAAACAAATCATTTGGATGAGTGAATAATTTTCTGAGCCATTAGAAAGCTATTACTGTTTTAAGCATTGTCACACAACAAAATTACCTGATGGCCATATTGTGTGATGCTGTTCCCAGTGCTCTTCTACCAAGAATGCACAATGCAAAGGAAAGGGTTACTAAAGGAGAATCTTCATCACACTCTACAGGCTGCAAAACATGTAATACTGTATTTAGTGCCACACCAAAGGCTCGTTAATATTGCATCAGTCTGTTGCTCTATGGTTGTTAGCCCTTCAAGGTAAAATAAGCCAGGAAACAGTTTCCACAAGTTTGCCTGGAATGCCACTTCACTGAGATAGGCTGTAATAACAATCTTGAAAATCTGTATTTTCTTTCCCTCCTTCCTATACCCTAGTACAGAAGTCACCAACCTTTCTCAGTTGGCAGACTGGAGGGAAAGGGAGGGGGAAGCATTTTACATGTGTGCACGTGTGCATGGGGCTGCGAGTACATGCACGACGTGAATGGGGAGGGGCTAGCGCCCGCATGATACTCACTAGCCCTGCTCCGTTCTTGCAAGGCACAGCACCCCATTACTGCACCCCGTGGTGCAGTAGCGCCCATTTTTGTGCCCCGAGGCATGGTGGCAGCCCATTTTTCTGCCCCACAATGCAGCGGCGACCTGTTTTTGTGCCCCAAAGCACAGCATATTGTTTTTTCACCACAGGTTGGGGACCCTTGCCCTAGTAAATGAAGGTGGATTCAGTCTGGTCTCTTTCTCATGCATTCTATTTCCTGGATTTATTAACACCTGCTTTGATTCTGTAACCATTTCTTCCAAGGTCTTTGCTGTGGCTCTTGACAGATATAAACTTCCCTAGAAATTGTATCATTGTAATTTCTGAGAAAAGAATTCTATGTTAAGTTTCCTATGTTAACGAAACGTAACATAATGTTTAATTAGTAGTACAAGTAAGGCAACGTACAGGTATTTGGCATATTTTATTTATTCTAAATATATATATTTTTTAAAGTTTACACAGGTTTGACTACCAACACCTTCTTTGCTTCTTCTTGCCCAATCCTGTTGCAGGCACATTATTTTCTTTCCTTAGTCAAAACCATTTTAAAGGACAGGTTGAAAGAGTATCAAATCAAATATATAACCATGAGGTGTACAACAGCTGTCCTCCAAATGCTTGGAAATTCAACCTTCATTAGCACTATCAATCACAAGGCACTGCTACAAGTATTAGTCAGAAACATCTGGAGGACACCAGGTTGCCAACTTTGAACATAAAATAATTTCTCCATGCCATACTTTTTCCCATTTTCCCCAATTTGTTCTCTTTTCGTCTTAGTTTTCAAGGACCTTTTAAGAGTCACACACTCTTACAAGCTTTTGCAACTTGGAGTTCTCCAGATGTGTTGATCTACAGCAGTGGTTCTCAACCTTCCTAATGCCGTGACCCCAACCATGTGGTCGTAAGTCGAAGACTACCTGTATTTCCCTGCGGGCAGGGCAGGAGGAGGTGTGCACGCCCCGCCTCCTTCTGCGGCTGCACATGGGCCATCACCCAGCAACCACCTTGGCCCGGAAGCACCGCGCATGCGTGGTGCCACCCCCTCCGCCAGCCGAGGCGTAGCTGGCAAGCGGCAGTGATGGCACAGGCCGACCACCGCTGGGCCACCAGCTGGCCCAGCCCAAGGGAGGTAAGGCACCTGCCGGGCCCCACATGCACCAGCAACCCTCCCTGCACCCGCCTCTGCCCCGATAGCCTTACCTTGGCCACTGCATGTTCGGTGCGGCAGCAGGCAGGCCCTGGCACTCCTGGGTGGCCATGGCATGCGGCAGCAAGGGCGCAGGCCGACCACCGGCTAGGCCACCAGCTGGCCCAGGCCAAGGGAGGTAAGCCACCTGCCTGGCCCCACGCACACCAGCAACCCTCCCTGCACCCGCCAACCTCCCGCCTGCCAGCCGCCCACCAGCCTTTCAAAAGCCAATAGATTCTATTGGCTTTCGAACACCAATAGAATAGAGTCTCCTGAATAGAGTCTATTCTATTGGCTTTCAAAAGCCAATAGAATAAGAGGGAGTAGCACAGCTAAGGAAAAGGGGGGAAAATGGCGGACTGCATTGTTTGGCGACCCCCGTGAAATGGTCGTTTGACCCCAAATGGGGTCACGACCCACAGGTTGAGAACCGCTGATCTACAGAGTCCATAACCTTCATCCAGTCTTCTTTTGATTGTGCTGGCTGGGGAGGATTAATAATGTCATTTAGTAACATTTTGGAAGCACCAGGTTGGGGAAGGCTGATTGATTTGGTGGGAAATATTTAGCATACTGTAAATAGTAAATTTATAATAGTGATTTAGGATTAAATGTGATAAACCTCCTTTAAAAAAGAAAAGAACTCTATATTGTAAATTTGTTGATAAGAACCACTGCAACTACCTACAAGAGGTTATATAAACTAGATAAATACTCACCTCTACTCTTTTCCCAGCACAAAACTGAATCCAATCTAAGTAAACACTACAGAAACTTGCTCTGGTGATTCCTTGAAGGCAAGGGACATAATCATCATCAATGTTAATGTTGAACATGGCAAGGTCACGCTCAATATAATGCCATTTGGAGAATGGCTGCAGTGTCTTCTGGAATGATTCATCTCTTAGCCAGGATAGGATTTTGGGGGAGCTTGCAGTAAAATATATAATGCTCTGTACATGAAAACAGAAATGTGGTTTGCTTTAGTAACACATTGAACTAGGAGATGTTCAATTATTTCAGACACTAGAGAAATGCCTCCAAGGAGAATAAAGCAAACCCTGTATCACATTGTACCACTACTCTATATTTCCTCTGCTTTTTATACTCCTGGGTCTTTGCTTATGGTTCAGGGGAACAGGATGGATGATTCAACAGTGCAGAATAATAAAAAAGAAAACTGCAAGAAAGACAACATTAAGACATTGGAGAGGATTAATGATATACATGTTATTATACCTGCTTAAGATTTATGAATATCATCCTTCCAGTTTTATATTTAAATTTGCATTTAAATTCAGAGAAATGGACCTTCAGTGCAAAAGGCAGAGTTTAAAATTTTTAGCCTTTAGAAAGAGATAAGCATGCTATGCCTTTTAAGGAGATTTATGCTGACACAACAGAAATGGGGGGAGGGGGAACCACCCTTTTTTGAAAAGCAGTTTTGTAAGCTCTCTCTCTCTCCCTCTTGAAAAAGGAATAAATTGACAAGCAAATGTGAAGGCAGAGTTTAAATAATCTCCAGTAGCCATACAGTAAATTACTTCAAATATATGCAGAAAGGCTACAGGAACTGACCCATTTTACTAAAAAAAGAGCAGAATTCTTTTAAAGTTGATAAATAGCCCCTCACTCAAATCTGGTTGTCAAGCAGATGGAAAGTAAAAAAAGAAGAATGTTTAAAATATGCAGGTTGAGATATAAATCTGATGTAAATGTAAATATGTGAGTGTTGTATTCTACTCCTAACACAGTATATATAGTATACTGTACATTTTATTTCTTTCATTGTGGCTTTTGCATTGTACAGGTAGTCTTTGGCTTATGACCACAACTGAGTCCAAAATTTCTGCTTCCATGCGAGACAGTCGTTAAGTGAGTTTTGCCCCATTTTATGACTTTTCTTGCCACAACTGTTAAGCGAATCACTGCAGTGATTAAGTTAGTAATACTGTTGTTAAGTGAATCTGGCTTCCCCATTGACTTTGTCTGTTGGAGTCATAAAAGGTGATCACATGACGCTGGGACACTGTAACTGTCATAAATACTCGCCAGAGTTGCCAAGGGTCCGAATTTTGATCACGTGACCATGGAGAAGCTGCAACAGTTTGTGTGAAAAATGTTCATAAATCATGCTTTTCAGGGCCACTGTAACTTTGTACGGTCCCTAAATGAATGGCTGTACTGTTTTTTAAAAATCTCAATAGCCAATCAGAGTTGCTTTGCAAGTGGGTGGCCATTTCACATAAAATGAAAATAATAAATCAATAACAGACTGCTTTCCTGAAAATGACTGTACCTTTATGTAATATCTAATGAGTATCCTTCGCAGGTCAAATACTTGCAGCATGGTGGCTGCGCTGTTGTCAATAATATTGTACCCTTCTAGAATGTACTGAGTCCGTGTTATTTCCCAGGTCAGCCATCGAAGGTTGAAAGCTGCATTGCTTGAGAGCAAGTGAGGGAAGTGGCCTGATTTACAACAGCAGCAATTTTCATTATCTTCATCTCCTTCGGTTATAGCCTCCACTTCCCTCTGCTGGCAGTAAGTCCCTTGGAAACGAAACACAGGAATAATCACAGTGGCAGTAACTGCAGAGATCAATGCAAATCAGCTTTTCCCAGAAAACTGCTGGTCCTCCTTTAAATAGTTAATACATAGCAATTAAACCAACCAAAGGGAGACGTATGACAATAAATAAAATGGGCTGATTACTCTGTGCTGAACAGAAACTGCTAAGGAACAGACTGTTTATTTCACCTTCCTAAATACATCACGTCAGATTCTATGCCCTGGCCTAAAATTAAATAAAAGTAACAATAGCTTCCAAATATTTTGCCTTAAATGTAAAAAGATGGATGTACCGTTCAGATGTGCATGCCAAGTCTTAGCTTTCTAAATGTCATAATCATAAACTCAGAGTACCCCTTTCTGGTTTTATATCCTGACTATGGCTTTTCAACAGCCAGGCCATAACAATTTAAGAAAGCTTTGTATGGAAGGTTTTATTTGTTAGTTCTGATAAAATCCAGTCTTTTCAAACCAGCTTGGAACTAAGTGATCTGAGAAAGTGGGTGGATAGATGAACAATCCTATAATTGAATTTCATTAACCCCAAATCCAAAATAGTCAGTCCTATGATATATCTCTTATAATACATTTATAAAAGCACATGTATTGGCTTGAATAACAAATCGGATTACTAGTGCTGGCTAAATCTCAATCTGCTATCTTAAACCCTCATAAGCAGCAGGAAATATTTGTGTAATAGTTCTACTGTACAGCATTGATATAGCATTTGAACATCAAAGTTCCTAATAATTAGAAGGAGACAACATCACTTCACGACTTAAAATAAATATCACAAACATAAAGAAAAAGAGAGAAAGAGAAAAAAGAAAAACATGGAATATGTATAAACAAGACAGACAAAGGCAATATAAACCCAATCCAAAAAATGTATTGAAAGAAAAAAAATAAAATATACATTTACTAAAATGGGGAAAACATATTAAATTAACATAGTTATGTGGATATGTGCTCTGCATGCTGAGGTGATAATATATTTTATGATTACAGTATAGCCTGCATCCTTTTTTCTTATTTCTCCTTGTTTATTGATTAATAATACCACTAGAAGCCTCCTCATTTTTGTTAATTGCTATTTGAATCCCTTAAATACTTTAAGGCATATTTTTAGTAGAGTTTCTTCTCCCTGACCACATCTACAGAGATAACTATATTTCATTTTTGAGTAATAATGAAAATCAAAATATGCATAACTTTGAGCTAGGCGAATGTAATTGTCTACTATTCAGCTCGTATATCATGAAAGGTCAATTAGATTTTTTTTTTTGCTAGATAACATATTAATCATCGTAAATATTTAGACTCTATTATTGCATAAGTGTGTCATTTTATGTCTCTTTTTACAGAGATAAGAAAAGCCAAGCTCTAATAACCCTGAAGGTACAATCACATGTAATAAAGATAATCCCAGATTATCCAGTATAGATTTCACTAGGAGAAAAGAGAAAAAAGCAAAGTGCAATCTATAGAACCAGGAATCGAGAACTATTAATGGTGAAAGCTGAAGCTTTATACACTGTTCCTCACTATTGAATTTAGTGAGTTTCATTTCTAAAGTACCGGTAATAAAGTCAGGAGTACACGTTTATTTCCTATTAAATATATCTAATGGGTCACCAGGTCACTATTATGTTTAATCCCAGTGGAATTAGATATAAACCCCCTGTTTTGCAGCAAACCAGGTCTAATATGAGACAAGAAAACTATTTTGGTCTTGGAAAGAATGGCTCCAGCTGTCACTTTCTGGCATATTTATTACACAAACTCAAATAATCTGAAATGATTTAGCAGCTAGCCAAATAGACCATCTCAAGCTAAATTTCAGATCCACCAAGAGCATGCAGTGAATGAATTTTCTGCTTTTTCTTGACTGCTGCTCTTTAAACTAAGGAGAGGGCTTACCTCGAAATTCTAGCCCCCTGAGCTGGAATGTGACAAGACCATTTCCAATTTCTATCAAGTGAACAAAAGCATTTAAGTAATCAGATGCCAAAATAAAGCAGTCTCCGGAACTGTAGTTTCCCCAGCGTCCAAGAATCAAATCTCCACAAAGGGTTTCCTGCAGAGATCTCGTTAGGTGCTCGTAAAAGATGGAGTTCAGGTTATCATCATTTCCTAAAATCACAGGAACACAAAGAGCTTAAAAGGGATGGAAAAAATAACAGCCATAAATCTTTTGAAAAGAATCCTATATTCTTACTGCTTGCTTAATAGCCAGCTTCCTTCTGGCGACTACAGTGGGAATTTTGGGAGCACTTATGTAAAAAAGTACTATATTTTACCTTGTTCCCTTTTACCACATGTATCAGGGATTACTCGTACTGTCATTGTAAGGTAGTTCTTAGATCCTAAAGTACTGTGTTTCCCGGAAAATAAGACCCGGTCTTATTTATTTATTTATTTTGCCTCCAAAAGCGGCACCAGGTCTTATTTTGGGGGGATGTCTTACCCGCTTATCTTAGGACCTGGTAACATAGAAGAAGTCTGAAGGCAGTGGAGCATTTCCTGCAACCAACAGATCTGGTCTCCTAAACGGCTGGGATCATCGAGTAGTTTTTATACTTTAATTCTGTTTGTAGAAATAGCTGAGGACAAGTGTCACTAATAAATATTAGGAGTCCTTTTTGTGATTTATTCCTGCTTGTTCCATTCTTGAATATTGTGATTCCATCAAGAAACCAAAGGCTTAACTGAATCAAGAAGTGATGTATTTATTATGCTGCTGCTGAGTGCACAATAAAGAATTGGGTATGTAGAGCACTGCCTTACTGGAAAATATACGGGGCACTCAATCTTGCCTGCAAATGTACTTATTTGTTCCTTCTCCCTTCCACAATATAAATTACGTGGCTTATAACAAAACGAGTGGATAAAACTGGAGTCTTGAATCGTACCCATTAGGCTTCATTACGCAGCTGTAGCTTCCAGATTCTGCCTCTAATTGCCTCATTTAAGCCTGACGACCAAGAATACTTGACCATGATTTAATTCTGTGAAAAGTTAATAAATACATAGTACAGCTCATGCAACTACACTGTGGCTTAAGCAAACGGGCAATAAATGCCTCTGTTATGAGACAATGGATTAAGCTTTTTAGTTTCTTTCCTTCCAGATAAGCAGTCAAGGGCATCACTGCATTAATAAGCTAATTAAAACCTGAGAAAAACAACCACATTTTGTAATTCAAATGGGGACTATGTAACAATTTCGTTGGGACAAATGAAAAGCACAGAACAATGCCCTATACTTCTGAGCTTCTTACACTTGAAATTAAAAGGGGAAAAAAAACCCAGCTGAAATGGAAAGGAAAAAGTAAAAGCAAGTATTGTTAAATGGTAGCACAAAGTGTACTAATGTAGAGAAAGCTAAGAACATTTGGTAAAATTATTTGCTGTTGGTATAATTTCTGGTGAATTTTTATAAAGTTACTGGTCTCATATATAAGTCTGTAATGGCTCCAAAGACAACAATGGCTCGTATAACTACCTGTTTTGTGGTTTTTCTGGTATTTTTCATCTGCTTGTTTTTGTGCAGTCAAGTTTTGATTGCTTCAGAATATGCCATTATCCAAACAAATGGGACATACAAATGGTCAATATGCCACTTGGTTTTATTATTAATTAAATGGGGCAAGAGAGTTAGAGCAGAAAAATATTAAAGGTATATAGGTACCAGATACAAAGGAAATGGGTAGAACTAGCTGCCAGATAATTTTATTCTTTAGTATAAATCTTGGCTTATACCATTTTATACAGGTTGTTTTCTGGCTGAACAGAAAGTTTTCAACTCTGATTTCTCACATCCAAGGTTAACTCCATCCTATGTCCTCAGACTGATCTGCCTTTTTGGATTTGGGGAATTTGCAAGGTTAAGCATTCACAAGTAGTCAGAGTGTCAGCTGCACTCAAAACCAGAACTTAAATATAATGAATGAAATAAAATCAAACCGTCCCATGTGCTAAAATGGTATCCCATAATCAATTGACAATGCCCATGAGTTTGAAACTTCTTGCCTAATTAACTTGGTTCAGCTATCTACAGACCTTGGGATCATGGAAATACAGATGTTTAAAAATGTGGCATTTTTGTCCATTTGGAGAAGAGTCCAAATTGAATAAAAATGTATTAATATCAGTATTAGTTATATCTGCACGGCTTGCCTGTAATGTAGTATCAGTATAGTATATATACAATATATTCAATTGCTCTTAATGTAGACCCTCAGAGTGCTGTTTCAGCAAACACAATTTGTTTGTTTGTTTTATAGGGCTTATTGGCTATTCCAATCAACCAACTCTGAGCAGTGGGATTCAAAACAAACAAGAAATCAAATTTCAAAACAAACCATATATTGTAATCATATACAAAACAAAGAAGCAATCCAAGCACTTTTCAACAGAAAACACAAGAACACACTTTCTACTGCCTTTACGAAAAGGTGAGAGAAGGTGAGAGAAGAAATGAGCGTCTACAGGGCATTTACTTTGAATGAGGGGGAGGGAAGAAAAATCTACCACAGATCAGCATAACTTCATAGAAACAGTGGGTCACATCAGTATGTGATGTGTGTTTCAGTATGTTTTGTTTTGCGCTGTTTATGAGAGTCGCAAGGAGGTGAACAAATTTTCTTCCAGATGGTAAGGTGGTATCCTCTTGGAGGCAGTATCCTCCAGCTGTACAATTTTCAGAATTCTTATCCAGTTTGTCCAACAGGAGATGTATTTACTTGTTGATCAGGTTTATATCCTGTCTTTCACCCAGGAGTTCAAAGTAGCTTATATAGTATTTTCTTCCCCTACTTTGCTCTGCAACCACAACTCTGTGAAGTAGTTGAACTGATGGTTGAACCTGCCTAGTGCCACCCAACAAGCACTGATGACCGAGTTTGGCCCTGAAGCTGAGTTTGTCCAGTCCTATTCCAGCACCTTAACCTCTGCACCACACTGACTGTTCCCTGCTCTGGGAGTTGTAGTCTTACCACCTCTGGAAAACCTCAGATTGGGGAAGGCAAACAATGAAAGAAACGAAGAAATAAGTTTATGGTAAGAATCATCTTTATAAGACTCTCAAAACTCACTCCCAAATTAAGATAATAAATAATAAAACCTGAAGCAAAAAAGCAAACATTCTGAATTTCTACTAGTATTAAAATAGTATTAAAAAGAGGACAGGGTTCTTCATAATTGTTTATTATGTTATGTCATTAAAAGCTCTTCCTGCATAGTATAAGCATCTTTGTGGGGGGGGAGGGGGATACTTTTGTTGAACACTGTTCCTTCCCTTCTTTTCAAAACAAAAATGGGCCTAATGGGTGACAGCAGCTCTGAAGATATTACATCTCAAACATTGGATTCTGTATATATTTATCCCAAATGCTCGAAATCAGGTGATCCCCAGCCTTCCGCTAAATGCAGACCATGATATTATCATGGAAGCCTTTTGAGTATCACTCCTAACCTAAGGAAAAATGTGGAAAATACATTGTCTGCAAGATCTCAGTGTTAAATGAAATTAATTTATAAATAGCAGAAAACTTGTGAAGTGTGGCAGTTTTTTTGAGATTTTGGCCATTGTTTAAAAATGTATTTTGGCATCTCTACTATGTCACTCTATCAGTGCTACATAGCCTTTCAGATTAGGAATGATGGCTTTAGTACACCAAAACTCTTTTACACATCTTCTAAATCAAAATATTTTTCTCTGCAAAACCACAATACTTCAAAATCTATAAAAACCTGTTTTCATTTCATTATATTGATGTATGTATACTGTATACATAAAACGCTAATATACTATGTCTTTATATTTAAATATAAATGTGAAAAAGCTATATATTCCATTATATTTTATTTGTACTCATATTATTTTTATATCAGTCGTAGTCCCATGGAGCTACATTTTCTTTATGCTTCAAACTTTGCCATTGACTCAGTATTTATGATTTATATCTCACTTTTTCCCGAGGAACAAAAAGTAGCATAAGTACAAACTGTAAATGAATTGGGTTCAGCTTCCTTTCCAAAAACAGAACACAGATGCCTTGTGTGAAAAGAACTAGGTACTTCTGCTAATGCCACAATGTGTGTGTAGTCTTCCAATACATGAGCTCAGCTGGTACGGTTGAAATCTTTCAGTAGCTCTTCTGCAACAGTTTGCAGAACAGCTTTCCTGGAACATCTTCTGCTGATCTATCTACGAATCCAATTCCATATGTTCAATTATGTTGAATAAACAAATCTTCACAAACAGAAATAAAAAAATAAACTCTGTTTCCTACCTGCATCCTTTTCAATCTGGAGTACCAATCTTGTGTTGGAATGGTCCGCTCTTTTTGTGCTGGAAAAAAAAGATAAGACACCTATAGATTATGTCTGCCGGAGGACAGGGAAGTTTTCTCTTTCTACTCCTTATGTATTTTGTGCATATTTATAAATTTTATATATTTTAATCTGACTCCTCCAGAATTTAGCTCTCCTTTCTACAGTCTAAATCAGGGGTAGGCAACCTTGGTTCTTTTATGACTCGTGGACTTCAACTCCCAGAATTCCTGAGCCAGCCATGCTGAGGTGAAGGGAGAGGTTTCCATGCTGAGCCATGCTGGCTCAGGAATTCTGGGAGTTGAAGTCCACGAATCATAAAAGAGCCAAGGTTGCCTACCCCTGGTCTAAATGTCCCCTCAAGTTGCCAGAGGCCTAAGAAACAATAAACAGTTTAATCAAAACAGCGCCCTTCTGCACATGGATTATAGGGATTAAATTCAGGACCTCTAGATGGAACAAAGCTTGGGAAGTGAAAAAGTAAATTTCAGCTCTCACAGGTAATCCTCAACTCACAAATATCCGTTTAGTGATCATTCAATGTTACAACGGCACTGAAAAAAGTGACGACCATTTTTCACACTTATGACCATTGCAGCATCCCCGAGGTCATGTGATCAAAATTTGGAAGTTTGGTAACTGACATGTATTTATGACAGTTTCATTGTTCTGGAGTCACATGATCCCCTTTTGTGACCTTCTGACAAGCAAAGTCAATGGGGTAGCCAGATTCACCTAAGAACTATGTTACTAACTTAACTGCAGTAATTCATTTAACAACTGTGGCAAGTAAGGTCATAAAATGGGGCAAAACCCTAACTGTTTTGCTTAGCAACAGAAATTATGGCCTCGGTTGTGATGGTAAGTCAAGGACTACCTGTATTTTCCTCTTACTTACTCATTATTTATCCCTTTGCTTATTCATTTTAAGAAGTCCTTATGTTTTCTCTTAATTGCCCTGCTAGCCCAGATTAGTATCACCATAAAACGAGGGGGGACATGATAGCAGTGTTCCAATAATCTCAGGGGCTGCCACAAAGAAGAGAGAATCAAGCTATTCTCCAAAGCGCCTGAGGGCAGGACAAGAAGCAATGGATGGAAACTAATCAAGGAGAGAAGCAACCTAGAACTAAGGGGAAACTTCCTGATAGTTAGAACAATTAACCAATGGAACAACCTGCCTCCAAAAGTGGTGAATGCTCCAACACTGGAAGTTTTTAAGAAGAGACTGGACAGCCATCTGTCCGAAATGGTGTAGGGTTTCCTGCCTGAGCAGGGGGTTGGACTTGATGACCTCCAAAGTCCCTTCCAACTTTGTAATTATAATTATAATTATTATAAATATACATACACTAGGACAGGGGTCTGCAACCTTGACAACTTTAAGACTTGTGGACTTCAGCTCCCAGAATTCCTCAGCCAGCTTTGCTTTGCTGGCTGAGGAATTGTGGGAGCTGAAGTCCACAAGTCTTAAAGTTGTCAAGGTTGCAGACCCCTGCACTAGGATATATGGGATCATTCAGTAGCTTCACTTTATCTGCATGGCTAGTCAAAAAAGATCAAGCCACAGAGTTGGAGAAAAGAAAGCTAATCACTAGGCAGAAAATTTGAACCATTGTGCATTTTTCAGAAAAAGCTCACCCACTAAAAAGCCAGGTTCAGTTCAAAAATATTAAGAATGCATAAAATATCCACAAGGTTGAGCATTTATAACGTTCTCTTAGAAATGTTCTCACAGAAATTAAATTCCTCCCAATCCTCCTGGCCTTTCAAAAGATCCTGAAAACATGGTTTTGCCCTCAGACATGGGGACCAGGGAATGTGGCAATGCTGGCCAGCTAGTTGTTTTGAGTGTTACTGTCAAATGCGGTTACCTCGGCTATGGATTTTATCATGGTTTTTTATATGATTTTGTGTTGTTTTTAATTTTTGTATTGTCAGTTTGATATGTTTGTAAGCCATAGAAGAATACATATGAGATGAGCAGCTGTATAAATTGGAATAATCAAACAAGCAGATGTATGATAAGAATAGAAATTGGAATGTCTTGGTTCCACTAAGGGGGGGAGTGTTTACCTCCCACAAGTATTAATGTCAACACTGTAAACATTGGATGTTCCCGCTCTGACAACTGATGAAAATTGCAGCCATTTTCTCTTTGCTTTTAACATGCTTTTTCTGGTATTTAGAAATCAGGTGCACTAGGGGGTGTGTGTGTTGGGATGAAAGCTTGAGCTCAGTTAGCCATAACAATAACGCTGCTTTGTGGGAACCCAAGGACGAACTGATAACGTTTTGGCGAGCTGAGGAGCTAGGGAGAAAGCCTGAGTTTTAGGCTAATTGGAGAATGTGATTTATGACAGCTTATTGGGGATGGGAATTGCACTTTGTTAGTTTGTATCCAGGGGAAGGGAATTTAGTTTTTGGGTTCAACTATGTAGTGCCGATACTTTGTTTCCTGAATAAAGTGTTCTTTAAGGAAGAATTTTTGCCTTGACGTTCTTTTGATGGGTTTCATCTATCAGAACCGTGACAATTAACTTGCTACCTCCAGTCCAAATCAATTTAATGAAACTATTCAGAGACTGGAGAACAGGGGTTTTGTAATAAAATACCTCACTCCCACTTTCTTATGAATTAAAAGGTAATCCCAAAATACAGTCATAGGGTGGTAGTAGAAAATAGGATTACCATATTTGAGCTGTAAACATCTATTTGCCCACTAGATGGTAACAATATGTTTTTGTAGTTCTCTGCTGCCATCTAGTGGTTCAGATTTTTTCACTCTAGCTCAGTGGTTCTCAACCTGTGGGTCGGGACCCCATTTGGGGTCGAACGACCATTTCACGGGGGTCGCCAAACAAGGCTGTCCACCATTTTTCCCCCTTTTCTTTGGCCACACCCCTGGCACCCAGTGATGTACAAGTGGTTGGGGGTCACCACAACATGGGGAACTGTATTATGGGGTCGCGGCATTAGAAAGGTTGAGAACCACTGCTCTAGCTAATGGCAGCCGTAGCATTTCAGTGCCTAATATAAGGGTGTCAAACTGCCAGCCCACGGGCCGGATGTGTCATGCTGAAACCGCGCCCACCCCATTGCTGGCAATGGAAAAAAAGTTGTGATACATTGCAGACACGTCATGTGACATTGCGAGTTTGACAGACCTGGTCTAATAGCTATTAATGATTGATCACTTGTTTGTCTCTTTGCATCTAAAGAAAACATTAATATCACCATTTCAAAAAATAAACTTATTAAAGATAAGAAAAAAAAATTGCTTATACAGGGAGGGATGATGAATAGAATACTGGTTTAGTGAAACAAGTAGTTTTTAGTTAAGATTTTGGAATTCACTTTTTTTTTTCAGCAGATAAACTGAAATCCTCATATAAAGATTATAAACAATAAGTTGCACCACCTGTATGTGACAAAACTGAAGTATCACCATTAAAACATTGCAAGGATATTTTAAAAACAGATTTACCAGGAAGAAGATTATGTTACATAGAGGGGGGAAATGCCCAGTATGATTTTACAGTATGAGAGCCAATAACCCCAAATCTGCACTTATTTTTATTCTTCTAATTTTGAGCTTTGCTCTGGTTATTTAAAATGACAATGGCTATTTTAAAATACAAATAGTGGTGTTTACTAACCTAAAACATTGCGCATATTTTGGAGTCATTTAACAATGGATTACATCTATTTTGCACTTTTAAATCTCTTTGTAGTTATGGCAGCAACATGTTAAATGCTATAAGGGTCTGACCAACTTTAATACTCAACATTCCAAACTGAGCTGAATATTCAGCCATGGGCTTCCAGCTGTCAGGTATGATCTCTTTTAAAAATTAACTCCTGGGACAACTGAGCCATTTGGCTTTTCTTCAGTGGCTTCTTACTTTGAATTTTGTTCATACTGCTCAGTCAGGGTGATAATTAGCTCAGTAATTGAATTTCTTCACGAGTGGAGTTATTCTACACAAACTAAGCGGAAGCCTTCTGGAGTTTGTTCAAAGAAATCCATAAAAATACTTGGCATCTTCTGCAAGGAACCAGTACATTCTGAAAGAGTCCTCTGGATTTTTTTTTTAAAAACCACATTTTTTCTTTTAAGATGGTTAGAAAAATAAATGGAGCGGTATTTGTGTACAATATTATTTCATGTCACACCTGCATTGCTATGGAGATGAGACATCCTTTAATACATCATTAACCTGAATAACATTCTAATTTCCCAATATGCTTTTATGGCATCTTGTTTAAAAGTCAGAAAAGTCAGGGACAGATCCATACACTCAACATTTTTGTGGTGTCCAGTTGTGATTATGAAGAAAGGGAAAATCAGTCTCCTCATGTTCAAAGTAATTACATTGCTTATTAGGATTATCATATATGGCTGTACTAAATGACCACTAGCTGGCAACAAAATGATCAAGTATGCTGTTTCTCAAGCTTTTAAGATGTGTGGACTTCAACTCCCACCATGGCTGGCTTGGAAATTTGAGAGCTGATGTGTATATGTCTTAATGTTGCTAAGGTTGAGAAACACTGATGTATTTGAATTCTGTGTGGCTATCTAGCGGTCACCCAAATTTGTGTGTGTGATGGTGTATGAGAAAGGCTTTGGGAGACTGGGGCCAAGAGATGGGAACAGTCAGTTCAGAGACAATATAGCCTGCAACTGGATAGTGGGCAGAGCAAGAGGTTCAAAAGGAACCAGGTTTCTTGAACTATAAAGGAGACAGGGGAAGAGAGTTTCTTTCAGGCTTGCAAGACTAATGTTAGCCTCACAGGATAAACCAGATAGGATTTAAAACCAGGTGAGCTAATTACTCTTTTTTGTAAAGTCACATTGAATCTTTTGCCCTGTCAAAACTATTCAGTTGTGGGCTATACTGTTTCTTATTTGGCCCTTGGCTCATCTCTTGCTCCAGTCTCCCAAGGTCTTTTCCACATACCAGCACAATATGGTATTAAAATCTGGCAACCCTAATGTTTACTATTTACTCATAT